GATCCAATGGACACAAGTTCTCATTAATGACTATCTTTTCAATACATCCGAAACAGAAGGTGTGTTCGCATGAACTCAAAGACTTTGGATTCTCGTAGACTTTGTGGCATATCTCACAAATCAGATTCTCGTCCACTTCTGAGGTGAACCTTTCGATATCGAAACCCATCTCTTCTGACGGACCAAAATTCAATCAAATTTACATTTATTTAAATCTAATTTTGTATAAACCATTAAATTGTAAAATTAAACATTAGTTCAAAATTCATAGGATTGAAGGGATGACTGAATAAAAACTGCTTTTAAGACAAAAAAAAGTAAAACAAATATCAAAAAAGTATTGCGTTATTGAAAAATCTAGTGATTATTCATAAAAAAATAATTCATAAAAATAATTTTGATAATGACATACATTTTACTATAATATGAATAGAGAAATCATCTAATCTATTGAATAGGTCTACTATAAAGTCTGGTAAACCATAATTAGAAAAATTCACAAAAATGCATTAAACTATATATTCTTATTAATTAAATTATTTAATAAAATTAATAATTAGAATTAAATTTATTACTTTCAAACACTTAAAAATAGTCTATAAAAACAATTTAAATTATATTACGGCATATACGGTACTATATAATTATATTAGGCGTTTACTAATCGGTTGATTGAGCGTTTAAGTTTTAAAAAGTATAATAGTAATGCTATAAAAAGGTTTATTGAATTAACTTCGTTATTAATAAACTTAAATAGTCACACATTGGTAGAAAGTCAAACTCAAACTCAATATTGAATGGAAAATTTGATTTAACTTTTAAACGTTTTAAAACTTCAAAATGATAAAACTCTTCACATTGAGTGAGTATTTGATAAGTTATATAATATAAGTTATATTTCTCTTATACTATATTTTTAGGTGAAAATCATATTTAATCTTAATTTTAAAGTCACAATTTACTTACAATTAAATCAAAATTTTATTCAAATACTTGAATTTGAAATATAAAAATAAGTGTAAACATTTACAATGTAAGTTACATTATATAACCCTTTTCTGATAGTAAACTTTGGTGTTGTAAAAAAAGTTTTGCCGCTTAAACGAAAGTCTACTTTAGGAAGAACTTACAGTTTTTTAAAATATAAAAATGACTTCAAATTGAAAGCAATTTTGGATTATTTTGTTAATATTCTGATTGTGAGGAAGACTTAATTAAGTTGAGTCTAAATGATTGTCTCATTTTCAGTGATTTGTGCGGTATTTGTGTTGACTGTGAGATGTGTTGAGAAGAAAGTGTATCGAATCGATACGAAAGTTTCAGATGAGAAAAATTGTCAATTGAAAGCTTTGGACCAATGCTTGAATAGAGCCTATTATTTCACACATAGTTTTAATTCAACTGAATTAGGCGCTGATCACAAGCAGTTTGACAATATGTGTCGCGCCGTTTAGTTTCACTAGTTAACATACCTATTTATAAAGTCAGCCACAAGTGTAGGCTGTGTGTTTCTACAGATAGTTAATCCTTTTCTCGTCAAGATAGTCAGCACCTCTGTTTACACATGGCTTCCTGGGCTTCGCGACAGTAAGACATATAATTGTTATGCTAATCATGATAATGAAGCTATTATAACACAAACCTATTTGTAGATTATATAAAGCACTCGAAATGTATCCAGAAAACTATCAGAGAGTCAAATGAATACAAAAATGTTTGTATTCATAATCTTCAGAAAGCTTTTGAAAAGACAAAAACTTCCAATACTATGATTGATATGATAAACATCGGGTGCTGTGCTTTCAATCAATGGCAGGATTGCATCGATGGGTACTTTAATACTATATTCATATGTTTAGATTTAAATGTAAATTAATTTCATAATTTTATGAATCAGTTTGGTTCAAGAAAAATGCGGTTTTGATGGAAAACAAGCCGTTATGGATCTCATTGAGAAAGCTTCTGGTGGTAAGTCTAGATTATTATTTTGTTATTTCATTAATGTTTTCATTGATTTTGTTATTTCATTTAGGACTCGTTTATAATCTTTGTTCAAAAGATTATTTTCAATCGGGATCTCAATTATGTGGAGTTTTATACCATGATTCTAAACAAATTCAATAAATTTATATAAATTGTTGTTAATAAATTTATATAGAAATATTTTGTATAATAAGCATGTAAATCATTTTAATATGTTTGTTCTAACATTTATTGTTTTATTTGTTCCTAATTTTATATTTTGTATAAATAAAATATACTGATCATATTAGTTACATTTGGATTTAGTAAAACACTGTAGTTTTCTTATTATATAATATGATGAAACTAAATAAATAATAATAACTTAATAATAATAATAATAAAGTTTGTATATAAAGATAATAACCAATTATAATACTTTCAGTATACTAATATGACATAATGTTAATATAAAACATGTTTAGTTTATTTGGTAACTATTATAGTTGACTTATTTCTTAGGTATTGGAATTGTCATAGTATGAAGTAAAGTCATTTTCAATTATTGTAAATTATACTGTATTACTATATTATTATATTATGATATTAGTATATCAATTTTATTAAAAATGAGTAAAAATATAAAGAACTTATTATTTATGATTTATTTGATCAACTATATATACTACAGATAAATAATACTGTTTTTATATTTTACATTATAAAAATTGGTTAATTTAAAGAATACAAAAGTGTTGAATAGTATTATTTGCGTCAATGAATTATGACTTCAATTGAAACTTTTCTATATAAATAAAAATTTTATTTTCAAATAAAATCATATAAAAGTGAAATCTTTTGGATAATATTGTGCATAACATTAACAGATCTTTAATTATAAGCAATGAATAGAAATGTGAAGTTAGTTATAGTGGTTGTAGTTCTAATGGCTGCATGTGTTGTGAGTCAAGCGGGAGAACAGACACAAAGTTTGCTATATTTCTAGTCTATCTTCTAAAGAATATTCCTATAAATCTATAAATCATTTATTGTTTTATAAATTTATTTCCAGATATGGGTGCATCTGGTGGTCGACCTCAGGGCTCGCAAATGGGTGGTGCGATGGGCAGTGCGGGAGGTATGGGAGCTATGAGTAACCGACCCAATGGTAACGCCATGAATGGCAGACAAGGAGGACAGGGAGGACAGGGCAGAGGGCAGAGGAGAAGAAGTGGCGGTCAGAATCAGATGCAAGGGGGCGGCGGAGGATATGGTGGACAAGGCGGTCGACAAGGCGGTGCACAGGGAGGTGCACAAGGAGGCGGTGAAGGAGGTGGTGCTGAATAAACAGAATAATAATATTTAATTCTTAGTGTTGATAGAATTGTGTTTAATTTATAATATATTTACTCAATCTTTAAAATAAAAAATTCTCAAAATGTTGACGAGTTTTAAAAAAATTTATTTAAAATTTAAAATTTATTTATTTATTTAAAATAAAAATTTATTTTAAAAAATAGGTGTCAACTTGGTACTAAATTAGAAATTGTAATAAATTCGAAAATCTTTACAAATTCAAATGCAAATCATTGTTTCCATATATTGCATAATTTTTTATCTTAAAAATATCCATGGTCAACCATGTACAGTAATATACTCTTTATTAATATTTTCATTAAATTTCATGAAATTATCATTTTTAGTTTATAATACAGAATAAAATATTTATGTAACAAAACTTTTAAAAACTTCTATATGGTACTGTTACAGTACTACCGGTATATATTAGCTTAGATTATCAGTATATTGATCAGTATCAGATTATCAGTATCAGTATATTTAAGATATTCTCTAATACTGTACTTACATAAAAATATCTTTCAAATATAATCTTACTGTAGATATAATTGAGTGAATGCCTCGAAATACTCAATACTTGATTGAAAAGTGCATTGAATTGCATAACAAGTGAGTGATTGTGTGTTAGTGTCGACAGATGTCTCACTCTGACAGTGAATGTGTTGTCAATGCAATGATAGCAATGAATACCAAAATGGATGACAACTGATAATGACATTGAGATTGTGATCAACCATTCATTGCAACCATTGATGGGTTTGTTTGGATGTCGTTCCCATTGCTGTCCATCTCTCTGTTTCCGTCCAAAAGCAGATCCCTTGACAACACTAGACTTGAGCCACAAATGTCTTCAAGACGTGCCAAACAATGTCTTCTCTCACGAGCGCACTCTCGAAGACCTATATCTGGACGCCAACCAAATCCGAGATCTGCCACGAGTTGGTCACCAATGAGTCCAATCATGTCATGTGTCTTACGGTCTCTTATTGTCTGTTTAGGCGCTCTTCCACTGCGAGGGATTGCGTGGTCTGTATCTGTCGGACAATGAGTTGCAATCGATTCCGAGTGCGGTGTCATCGCTGACACGACTGGAAGTGCTTAATATCAGCAAAAACAATATCCTTCAGATCCCAGACACCATCAAGTCTTGTAAGTGCCTCACAGTAGTGGACGCCTCCATCAACCCATTGGGTCCCAGACTTCCCGATGGCTTCACTCAACTCATTAACCTCCAGGAACTCTATCTCAACGATGCATTCCTCGAGTTCTTGCCCGCAAACTTTGGCCGGTATTTACATATTTGTTGTCATTTGGATCCATTTGAGTGACCCTTTAATCTCTGTATTAGTTTATCGCGATTACAAATCGTTGAATTGCGTGAAAACCATTTGAAAGCTTTGCCCAAATCCATGTCCCGTTTGGTCGACTTAAGACGTCTAGACATCGGACAAAATGATTTCCTCGAGTTTCCAGAAGTGATCACAAGTTTGCATAAATTGTCTGAACTCTGGTGTGACTGCAATCGTATTATATCGATACCAAATGTAATTGAACTGACATTTAGTGTCCAGAAATGTGGTTAATATACCGGTATTTGTATTGTTTTGCAGACAATCGGTGACCTAAAAGAGAACTCTGGTGTGACTGCAATCGTATTATATCGATACCAAATGTAATTGAACTGACATTTTGTGTCCAGAAATGTGGTTAATATACCGGTATTTGTATTGTTTTGCAGACAATCGGTGACCTAAAAGAGTTGACTTATTTGGACGCGAGTTATAATAAGATTGAAGACATCGCCGCAGAAATGGGTGATTGCCTTCAGTTAACAGATTTGACGTTCACTTCAAACAACTTAATAGAATTGCCCGAAAGTATTGGGAATTTAGTTAATCTGAAGATTTTGCGATTAGATGTAAATGAGATTAAGAAGAAATGGGTGATTGCCTTCAGTTAACTGATTTGACGTTCACTTCAAACAACTTAACAGAATTGCCCGAAAGTATTGGGAATTTAGTTAATCTGAAGATTTTGCGATTAGATGTCAATGAGATTAAGTATCTCACGTCTGCCATCGGAAGGTATGCTAACATCTGATGTTTATTTTAATCACATTTTTAATCATTTTATTACCGGTTATAGTCTCTCGAGTTTAGAGGAATTGGTGTTTAATGAAAATGAAGTGGAAAGCCTTCCGACAAATATTGGTTTATTACGAAATCTGCAGACTTTGATAGGAGACTGCAATAAGCTAACGGACCTCCCGGTGTCGATCGGCAGTTGCATGAACTTAAGAATATTATCGTTGGCTGAAAATCAGCTGAAAGTGATTCCCGACGAATTGGGAAGACTATCAGCGCTTAAAGTTCTTAATCTGAACTCTAATTTCTTAACTTATTTACCGCTATCTCTAACAAAGATCACAAATCTTCAGGCGTTGTGGTTGAATGAGAATCAGACGAAACCATTAATTAAATTACAATCAGATATAGACCGAGAGAGCGGCCAAAAAGTGTTGACGTGTTTTCTTTTGCCTCAAATGTCAGATCACTCTCGAAATTCTCCCAAAAGTCTTGTTTCGCCCAACGATTCCAATAATGACAACAATTTGGTGGCCGACAGACAGATGATTAAGTTTTCTAACGATCCGTCGGATTTGAATGGCATCGACGACGATCTCGATGTGCGGATTACAACCAAATTGATTAGAGCGCCCACTCCTTATCCCAAAGAACTCAAAGCACACGCCCGACACGCCCGCAATCTGGCGCTTAAGCAAAAGGACATCAATAACACCGTGACCTCCACTTCCCAGAAGTCCGACAATGATATGATTGTTGCGACCAATGAGAGCGAACCCATTAGCCCTGAAAGCGACCAAATGTCTAGTCATTCACAAGTAAAAGAAGCAAAAGTATCGAAATCTCCTTCAAATATAAGACACATTCCCAACAGTGAACCACCGAAGAGGCCCACAACGCTTCCCATCAGTTCAGCATTCAATGTCCCAAACGTTGAGAAATCTCCTAAAAGTAATAAATTATTAGTTTTTTGTAAACTAGTTGATTTGACGAAAAATACAGTTGATGTCCACGAGAGCTATGCCTAGTGAACCTTAATCACCGAAGCTTTTATAGCTTTGAATAGTTTAGAGTTCTGTTTCTTCACAAACTAAGGTTACTCTTTGGTTCACATGAAAGGAAAGGGAGTTATAAAGTAGCGGTCAATAGCTCGTTGAGTTTGAAGAGTCCCATCGAAAGGAAACTCAAATCGAAAAGTATTTTTTCAAAAGAAGATAACGAAAGAGGATATAAAAGTGATGTCGAACTCTATTCGACACAAAAGTTATCGAATAACACAACAATTGGTTATTCGAGTGATTGTGAGTCGAAACGAATGGATCGACTCAAAGAAGTGGTGCCTAAAGAGCGCGACTTAGAGTCGGCTCTCAATAAAAAGCCTTTGGAAACGGATTTGTATTCAAAATGCAATTCAGAGTCTGATTGCTGTTTGCATACAATTAATCAATCAATTGGTGCGAACTCTTCAGACAAAAGCAACGACGAGATAGAAATTAGTGATACTCTTGTAAAACAAATCTCAACCCATAATTTGGTCACAAATTCACACACAAACCAAAACTCCTCCCAAAAGACAAGTATTTTCGACTCAATCACTGTCAATGCAATTGATGTCAACTCGAACTCATCGGTCGGATCATTATATCCGTCGACTGGAAGTGAACGACCCGTCTCTGTATGTTCTGGTCATTCGCCATACAGTAGTACCGGCAGTACTGCCAGCGATCACCCAAATGGTAATCCTAGTCAATGCTCTCTATCGCGCACTCAACTCAAACCTACCGAAGCAACCAATCAAACACCAGCTCTGCCACCAAAACCTCTTAACTACATTCCATCGCGACTGGACATAGGACTGACTGCACCGGTAGTGGCGAACTCTCGTCTAAGACAACCACAAACTGCTTCTTCGCAATTCATTATTCATAAGTTTTCTCACGACTCGTACACTCAATCCAAACCATCGATTGGTCACAACTTAAACCCTCACTCAGTGCTCACAACCAATGAATGGAATTTGAATGGAATTGATTTTATCGATGACTCCAATGAGTCGAACGGTTCCAATGGTTCCCATAATTGTAATTTACTCAATAGTGTCAACAATAACTTGAATCGTCCCAATCGTATATTTACCACAAGTACTGCACACGTCGTGAGTATAACAGTCAATGATTAAACTATAGCCATGTCTAAGAATTGATGTCTTGGAACAGTTTCCTGTGATAATTGTTAAAAACCCTGGCCTTGGATTCAGTATCGAGTGCGGCCTACCATCGAAAAAAGCCAACGATTCATCGGTTTGTTTAATATTTTGTGAATACTGTAGTGTTTTGATTGATTGATGCATTGATACCATATTTTAGGGCGTATTCGTGTCGTGTGTAGAACCGGCAGGTTCTGCGAGCACTGCCCTCAAAGTGGGCGATAGGATACTTCAGATCGATGGCATTGATCTGCAGAATGTGACCAAAGATAAGGCGAATCATATATTTGAGTCAACGGGAGATACGATTTCACTTATGGTTTCCAGAGATAAATCATAACACGTTTCTAACATTTTTTACATGATTTTACAAAAGTTTCCACAAAAACCTGTTTTTAAAGTTTAATCAATCGTTTCTCAATTTTTTAATTAATTGAAGAATTTTGTTTATTTTATAATTAATTTATTTTATTATTTATTAAATATTTCTGACAATCATTTTGATTACACATTAATTTCTATTCACTAATAATACGATAATTAGTTCATTTGTATTTTATTTTTATTTTCACATTATTTATTATTATTTTATAAATTTATAAATACAATGAAAGTCTTAAACATATTTTTATTTAAATTTATTATAAATTTCGTCACAAGAATTTCAATATATTATGCAATGAAAAAAGTTCACAATTAGAGACAATTGAAAAGTGATTAAAATTTGTGATTTCTATTGATTTCCGTTATTTTATACTTTATTTTACTGTAATGTTTAATATATTTGAGAAAATTTTTTATTATAATTGTAATGTTAAACAAATCACAAGTTTTTTAAAGTAAGAATCGATAAATAGATTTGCATTTATTGTGTAATTTCTCAAAAATTTTATAATTAATAAATAAATTGACAGTTAATTAAACAATTTTGAGTAGTTATTGAAATGTTTTCATCAAGATATTCATCACAGGGTTATCATTGGTATCGTATTGTCCAACACATCACTTGGAAGTGAGTTCTTCGCGAATCACTGTTTTTCGTCGTCTTCTGAGCAGAAGAGCGGCTAAAATGATGACCTTTTGTCGTATAAAAAGTTTTACTTAAATGCTATTCAAATATGAAGACTATAATAGTAACCATAATAGCGATGTAAAGAATGCCAATAATGCACAACAAAAATAAGATATTAATGGTTAGAGTTTCTCCTTGTTTCTTATCCATTGCTATCACAATTGATTTGGTCTTATAATTGGTTAATTACAGTTTAATTATAAAGTTTATATTATAAACTCTTTTATAGTATTTCCAAAATATTTTTCAATCTATTAAATATCAAATATTGTGGATTTTAATCGCGTGATGTGAATACATTTTTCTAATTGATTTCTACATTATTATAGGATAGTGTCAAATTGAATTTAAAATAAAGCACACATTTGTTTGCATGAAAATAATTTCAGTAAATAACGGTTTGATCGCCAGAATGAAATTTAGATAATAACCGTAGTTTAGAATTTGTGAATGAGAAATATGTTCAAGATAATATTGATGGCAACCTTTTTATCATTCATTGCGAACCAATGCGTTTGTGGAGAGGAATGTGTGAAAAAAGTTAATTTATGCCAAATTAAGAGAAAATTATCCCAAACTAGAGTCGATAATATTCCCGAAAGCGATATCAAATTGACTGTTGAGTGCTGTAGTGAATGGCATTATATTAAATGCTATGAAAAAGTATTGAATGCTTTCAAAGGCAAAGGTTGTGATGGAAGAAGAGGGGAATTGAAGAATACAACCCAAGCGATGATACAAAACCCTAAATGCAAAGACTTTGATCGCACGGCAACCGAATGTGTTTGGCCTGAATGGACACAATTTAGCGTCTATTTGGCCGCCGCTTTCGTTATCATTGTTTTTATTGTGATTTCTATTTTTGCGATTCAAGACAAAACACAAGAGAAGGCCGAAAACCAAAAACTTTTCAACGCAACGGATACCAAAAATACATTTATTTTGATAAAATGAACTAAATTTATGTCTAATCTCTTTCAGAGTATTCTTTAAAATTATATAATTATATATCAAATATTAAAATTATATATCAAATATTCTATCCGTTATAATGTATTAAAAGTTAAGTCAATTAAATTGTTTTCATTTTGATATTTGCTTAGAAAACTAAATAATATTATATTAAGCTCTGTATATATTATAAGTTATATTCATATATAAAAATATATTTCAATAAAGATTTTATAAGATTATAATAAAATCAATTGGTTTTTGTGAAAAATATAATTAAATGGTTGGATCATTCGCTTGGGTGTTGGGACTCACTGTGGGTGACATTCTTGGGTTTTTCTAGTGTTAAGATTCGGATCTTCTCGCTGTCGACAAAAGCGACGGCCGGTTCGTTGTCCTTATAGTCGGAACAGATTGTCAGACATTTGCCTTCAAAACTCATTTCATAGCCTTTGTTATTGTAGACATTATTTGAGCGGATAATATGTGTCAAACCATTTGGCTCTAAAAAGTTATCGACCGCCTCTTCATTAAACAGATGAGCAGATCCAACACTTTTATGAGCAGCAAATCCTTTATCAAGTTTACTGACCCCATGATCAGGTCTAAGCGGTTCGTTATTCATAATCTATTCAAATTGCAAAATTAACACAAAAACTAAACCCATGGATAAGAATACCTCATTTGCAATGAGGGAATCCCTGTCAGGATAGGCCAGTTCGAGGGGAATGTCGTTAATGCGGCTCACTTTGGAGGAGGTGTAGGGAATGCCTCCGTGGGCACAGAATATGGACTCATCAATGATGGCAGAGACAGGCATTCTGTCGAACACATTGTTAATCAATTCCCAGACTTTAAGACCAATTATATGACCAAATTTGGTGATACATTCCTTTTGGAAAGTGTTATTCTTCGTCACATCTCTTGTGTCGAAATTACCTCTTAGAAGGAACACCTTATTCGGTGAAATCAGTTTCATGGCTAAGATGTATATCACACATTCGATGCCATTATTTCCTCTGTCGGCAAAATTTCCCAAAAAGAGATAATTAGCGGACACTAAAGGAAAGCTTTGCCAAAGAAGTTTCTCCATTAACATCAAGTGCTCCAGATTTGCACGAATATCTCCGATGACAACAGTCGGCGAATTCAGTTTCATAACTCTGTCCTCACATTTCAATAGACTCTGTATATCAGTACACAAATTGCTCACATAATTGAGAAATGTATCCTGATCTTTCTCTGTGCCCTTCACCGCCCAAAATGACTTGTCTTTAACCTTTTTATTGCTGTAACTTCTGATCACATCCAGGAATACCTGAGGAATGGCATTGGAATCGAACTTATATTCCATCGAAAATCGGTCACGATTTACCACATCTTCACGTATTGTCTCCGCTGGAAAAGACATGCATTTATTAATTACAAGAACATTATTAAATTATATCTAAATTACGTTCAAATATTCTTCTTGGTTCCACACATCGCCCACTTGTGTCCAGTTTGACCGAATGGAGTCCGTAATCATATTTCTTTCCCTTACAACTCAAACAAATTCCTTTGTTTTTTCGGTTATCCTTCAGAAACCCTGACTTACTCTTAGCCGAAGTCTTTCTCTTATGTCTATCGGCCATAGATTTCTTCATTTTAGCAAAAGTTTGTTTCGGAGACCGACACAACTGTTTCGCACCTTTAAGAGCATCCGAATTGACGGCTCTAAGAAAGACATCTAAAGTGATTCCAGCGCTTTCGACATTCAAAGAACTGGTCACTTCAGATATCTTGTCGTCGAGGGAGTCGTCGTCACAGTTGTCATGAATATCTTTCAGCATTTTCTTGAGTTCTTCTTCGTCGAGGATTTTGTCGCCATTGGAATCATAGTATTTGAAGATAAATCTCATCCTAAACTCATCATTAGAAGAGTTGGGATCCATTGCAACCAATCCTAACATTAAGTCTTGAAAGTTGACGAAATCATTGCCATCGCTGGTGAACGCATCGAACATAGGCTCGAACTGAGAGTCTTTGCAATCAAAGTCAAAAGTAGTCATATATTCACTGAACGATTGAAATGACATATAAAATGATGGGAAACAATGTTCAATGAAATCGACGTAAAGTTTTTCGATGTCTTTTCGTTGAATTTGCAATTCTTTAGACAATTTTTCCTCTAAATTAACGGTTGAGTTGGAGAACAAACTTTTGAAGACTTGTTCGATACTATACTCATGAATTGATATCTTATCGGTTCGGGTGACATAATTGGCGTATTGGCTGACCTCTGGCCCCCAAACCTTGTCAATAGATCCCTCCAAAACGGTTTGCTTTGACACCCATTTAATACGATTCGTGTCTTTACAACACGGGAAGTCTTTGTCGTCGTTGTCTAATCTCACGAATCGTGTCAAACGACTAATGAATCTGCGGTCAGGAAGTTGTACTCGAGTTATATTTGTAATAAAGGTTTTCTTGACTTTTGGTCCCTTTTGAAGAGTGGCGTCTAATTCCCGGTGACCTCTGCTCATAACAACGCGTAACCCTTCCTCAGAGGCTAAGGCATATGTCTTGAGACCGCTGTTCACAACGAATGGCATCCAAACCGTCTTTTCAGCCTTACTTAAGGCAAACTTCTTATGCCGACCACAATAGATGAGGAATGCTATGCAGTCGTATGTGGAGTGTCCCGGAGTGCCACCGCCTTCTGGGGTCAGTTTGGAAGAGGTGGGCGTTTCTAACTCACGAGTTATGGTCCTTATATCTGTTGAGGTCATTCTCAGCGATGCTCCCATTCCCTCACTCTTCAGAGATTCACTCGATTTAGTCGTCTTCGGCGTCTCGTCTTCGTCTTCGTTGACCATAATCTCGGCGCCTAATCGTTGGATCAGTTGTAAGAATTTGTCGAAATCTATAACAATTTTATCAAAAGTGTTGATAAGAACTATAATTCAATGACTGATAGTTTAATAACAACTTATTGAATAAGACTTATTAATACGAGTGAATCGTTGCCATTCAATACCCAAATAAATTCAAATTTAAAGTGTTGTTTGAATGCTCTCAACAATTAACCATATTTTGTACAATCTTTCTAAATCTAGTAAACTGTTAACAAATTAGCAACAATAGAAAAATACTATTTAACACTGATTTAGTATTTTTCTAACATACTTTCTTACTTATATGGAATTTTAGAAGTCCTAGAAAATTTATTATAATTTCTATTATAGTTATTATTCACAAATGGTCCTATAGTTAACTATAATCTAATGAAATTGTCATACTTTAAAATAATTTTATTTTTAATTATTTATATATAATTTTAATGTTAAAGTTTAAATTAAAATGCAAAAATAGGTGTCAAATAATGTGCACTGTATGTTAGATTACAGAATTCAAATTCACTGTAAGATTCTTGTAGTGACTGCAGAATAAGCGTCACATAGTATGTGGAGAGCCCTCGAGTGTATGACTTGCAGTTTGACATAAATGTGAAAATCATTGGAAACTTGTTTTGAAAGTCCTTTCATTGAGTGAAGCATTCATTTGGCATTAAATCAGTTTTGAGACCACTTTTAGTCCACAGTTAACCACAAGAAGCCGTCAAAATGGTATGAATATAGTGTGCATTGGATTGGTTTCACTGATACTCACGTGATATATGTCTTGAAATGTCTTTTTCGGTGCGAAGAGTATAATGACATACAATGGCGGATGTGTTATAGCGATGAAAGGCAAGGGATGTGTTGCCATCGCTGCCGACCGAAGACTCGGAGTTCGCGGACACACCGTCTCGACGGACTTCAAGAAGATCTACGAAATGGGACCGACACTCATGATAGGACTGCCGGGACTGGCGTCCGACACACTCACTGTCTCGCAAAGACTCAAATTCCGGATCAATTTGTACGAATTGCGCGAAAACCGACGGATCACTCCCAAGACATTCGCGTCAGTGGTGTCCAACATGTTATACGAGCGCCGCTTTGGGCCCTACTTTATAGAGCCCGTCATCGCCGGCATCGACCCCAAGACAGGCGAGCCATTCATCGCCTGCACTGATGTGATTGGATGTCTGGAAGAGCCCGAAGACTTCGTGGTCGCGGGAACAGCCACTGAACAGGCCTTCGGAATGTGCGAAACCCTATGGGAGCCTAACCTCGAACCCGACGATCTCTTTGAGACTATTTCGCAGGCGTTGGTGAATGCGGTGGACAGGGATGCGGGCTCAGGATGGGGTGCTGTCGTGTATGTCATCGAAAAAGATAAAGTGACCGAAAGAACAGTGAAGACACGAATGGATTAAATCGATTGAGTTCTGCATTACTTTATCACAAAATATCGATTTTTCTGTATTTTTATTATTATTTGCGAATAAATTATAAAATAAAACAAAAATACTTTATTTCATTGATTTCTTATCGGAATTTGAGAATATCTTTAAGTGATTATCTGCTGACCCACTGATCATATACTCCTCCGAAGACCAGTTCACGCAAAGGACTTTGTCTTCGTGTCCGATGAGGTCATAAAGGGGTGCGTCTGTTGAGCGGATGTCCCACTGTTTGACTACATTATCATAAGAGCCGGAAATGAACTGAAATTCATTGGTTTTGCAGAAATCGATGGACGAAACCCACGACTGATGGGAACTATAAACTCCTGTCACCAGAGAGCCAGAGCTGGCCCTCGGGTCCCAGAGTCTGATGTGTCGATCACACGAACCGGTGATTAAGCAATGATTTAGTGGTGAATAAGAAACGGCTAAAAACGCCTTATTTGAGGTCAACGTCTGCTTGCTTTCGCCGACCTCTATGTCCCACAAACGGATCGTGTTATCCATGGAACAGGTGGCGATGTTGGCTATACTCGTGTCAGTAGTGGTCGACCCCTTCACCCAAACGCAGTCAGTGACCGCCTCTTTGTGTCCACTCAATGTTATAATGGGAGTCCGGTTTTTATCACCACTAACTGATCCGTCATTTTTCTTCATTTTCTTCTGCTTAGAAGTGGACGCTTCCGACTCTTCCGGATCTTTCTTATCGTCAACTAATGACCATATCTTAAGCATCTGGTCGTAGGAACCGGTGGCTATCAAGTCATTGCTCACATCAACACAATCCACAGACCGTGAGTGACCTCTGCATGAGAACAGGTATTCCACTTGATTTGACCGGGAATTCCATTTCCAGACAATAGCCGTCTCGTCGTGAGAGCTCGAGATAAACATGTGATCCTCGGAGTCATTGTCCGATTGGCCGCCAATCCATTGGATGTCTTTAATGGGCGCCAAATGAGCCGGAATTGCGATCTTATGGGAACCGTCGCTGTTTAGGTCCCAGATATGCACTGAATTGTCATAACATCCGCTGATAATCCAATTGCGGTGACAGTCCACACACGACACCCAATCGTCGTGTAGGAGAGAGTTGTATGGTTTCGGTGGACACGACTTCACGAAGAACTCGATCTCAATCTGTTTCTCGGCATTCAATCCTTCGCTTTCGACCAACTCTTCAATCGATACTCGCAATAGTTTGCCATTTATTATGAAATCAAATTCAATGTCTTCTAAATGGACATCACTTTCATTATCATTATCTTCGGACAGCAATGTCTTTATCAGAGAATTCAGATCTAATGCCAGTGTTGAGCCATTCAGTGAATATGGTGTGGAGGGCACAGACCACCGGTTGTCTCGTGTCATCAAATTGACCACAAATTGACGACAACTCTTGTCCTCCAATGAGGACTCCTTTGTGTCCATAGACTCCATGAGGTCTTCAATTGATGGCAACTCTGCACGCAATCAATGGTTTGTTTCAAATGTGATTCAACACAACATAAGCACGTGTTGTGTGTTTGCGAACGTATGCTATGATTGGCTCACTTTCGCCAAACTATTCATATGACAAGACTTCACCAACTTTTCGATAACTCTTTCATTGCAGACATCTGTGAATAACTACGAAGAATGAACTTTTTTTGCCATTCATTGTCTTCAGTATATGTCTATTGGTCTCAATTTCAGTAATTCTTGAAGTCATCATATTTTAACTTTCAATTTTCTTAGTCTACAACTAGTATCCAGGTCTATTTTCTACTAAAGAACCAACATTTTCAAAGAATTCACTAGCTTACTTGTTAGTAACTTATTACATGGGTACGTTTGCTGTAATTAATTTCAATCACTTGATAACATTATAGTCGCTTTTTAGACCATAAAACAATACTTATAAATATAAAGCCATTTGTGAACATTTTATTTGATATTTACATACATTTCATATACAGAATAAATGATTTGAAAATAAATGTTTGATACAAAGTATGAGAATTTAAAAGAACTTAAAATATTTAAGACATGAGTTTATGAATCAGTTTTGTTGAACTCGTGAGAGGATATCCCGAAGAGCACTTCTACCAGAAGTGATGGCAGTGTTTGCGCCGCCGATTGCTTGACGAAGACCTGAGTTCGCGATTCCGAGGCCTCTATTCAAGAGAACTGAAGCGACGCCTACGCTATGTTGAGGCATATAACAGGATCGGTGCCAAAGGGACCGGTATTGTGGAACCACATGCTTCTCCTCGAAGTCCATGAGTTCGGAGGCGTCGGGCATATCGATGGGCGCCGATGGGCGCAGTAGTCCGCGGCACCAATTGGTTTGATAGAGTTCGTATGGCGTCAATACCGTCGATGACGGCTCCCATTCCTCCCGGTCTTTCCAATTGTCCTCATTTTCCAATCCATTTGACACATAATATTGTTGCGGTGATTGTGGCTGCGATTGATAAGACTGTCTCATGGGATCTAAACGTCTGTTTGCGTACATCTCCTGCGATAGGACTCCACTGACGGCCAGAATAAGGCATATAAGCGGCAAAAGAGAAGTCATTTCTAAAATAGTTTACTTTCAATTGAATACAATAAAAGTTTGAATACAATAAAAGTTTTAATAAATAAAATTCTTTCAAGTCTTATAAAACAAAATCAAGCGTTTCGTACGAATGAAAGCAAAGGAATGAATTTACTTGAGATTCTGTGGTCTCTTTTATAGCAACATTTGTCTCAAAAGTTCATACATTTAGCTTTAAATACAACCAATCAGTGACTGAATTTGTATAAAGTCACCTTTATAATAAAAAATATGTTTTACTCATTTATCTCATAATACTGTATTATTGGCTATAATTTTCAAATTGATTCATTAATCCTTGAAATTACTTATGATCTGAAGTGTACTGTATGTGACAAATGGAAAATAAAATTATACTATCGTACAATAGTGAGTGTATAGTTTCTCGGGTATAACTAAAAATTACTAATAGTGACTACATTTACAATTAAAGTTATATTTATTGTCTGATATGAATAGTACATTCTTAATGTTCAAGAATTAAAGATTAATGGCGTGTATACGACCTTATAGTGTACAGTATTGGCAACATTTAAATGAACGAAATAAGTGAAATGTGAAATATTTTCCATTTATCAAGAATATAATTTACTGATTCATTGTTGATGATAAACTTGTAATACAGTAATAATTTGTACAGTTCTGGGTAGATCAATTTGAAAACTTAATATTTAGTTACTATTAATAGAATTCTTGGGAATTAATGTCTACTTATTTGGCAGTAGACTCTACTCTACTGTATATGACTTACTGTATCATCTCATTCAATGTAATCTAGTACCGGTAAAAGTTGATCAAAGTATCAAATAATTTTTATAATAATACATTTTAGAATCAACTCACTGAATGAACCAGCTGAGTTTACTTTTATTATAACAACATCTCAAATAAAAGAAATAAATAAACAATTAAAATCAAATTTATTTATTTGTGACATGAATAAAATACAAGTTTTAACCAGTGCTAAATAGTGCCCGATAGTAACTGCTATACAATAAGTTTTGTAGCATATTTACAAACATAATATTTGGATTAAATCTAGTAAATGACAAATCTTTGTACAACTCATTTATAGTTGATTATTAAAAACGACTTAAACTATGATTAGATAATCTATTTATAGTTTTATAACTTACATTAAATAAAGCATGATTTATATCATATATAATTACAATTATTAAAATTGTCAAGTAAACAAACATAACTTAATTATGACATAAATTCATAAATTAATAAAAAAGTGACAGAAATCCTAATATAGATAAAGCATTTAATCTTTGAATTTAAAATTTAATGAAATAAAGGCAAAGAATATTAAAACAATTATAAACAAAAAGTAATGCAATTTAGAGGTAAAGACGATTACATAAGTGAAGCGCCGAAAACACACAGATTTGATGGTATGGCTACCGATGGCTTTGATATATTGGTTCTTTGAACGAAAAGCATTATCTTATCGTTTGGACGCGAGTTCGCGGTTCTAATGAAGAGCTCGAGACACCTATTGGTGATCTGTTTACACGAATCCATTTCAATGAACGATAATCGCGGACACGATATGATGGCCTCAACGAAGAGGTCTGTGATGGACGAGCAGCAGAGGGAAAGGCTTCTCAACTGACAAAGTGATGCCAATTCGTAGCGACACTCGTCTGTAATGAAGCTATTAGTGAACGAATCGGAGGGAGTGATCGATATCTGTTCAATGAGTCGACAATTGATGGCCAACTGCTTGAGCGCAATGTTGGTGACAACGGCGCCGTCGATCTTCAGTTTCCTTAAGTCATGACATTTACTGATAATTGAAATCAATTGCGTGTCGAATGGAATCCGACTGACGCTTAGGATGAGCTCTTGTAGTGACTCTAAGCTGGATATAAAGGAGTAAGCGTTGGAAGCGTTCACTGAATCGGCTTTAAATCCATTGAACTCAAGAGACTTCAAAGAAGTCATTTGTTGGCAAATCGTCTGAAACATCGACGGCTTTATTGAGTCTCCGATTTGAAGACGAGTCAACTGTTTAGCATTTCCGGCCACCAAAGCGTTGATACCCGAGTCGTCGATACTGTTGCAGTCGATGAGTGATAAGTGACTGATCTTATCACCGAACAGATCAAAGCAATGACCGCTGATGTCCACGTTTTTGTCCAAAACCAAAACCTCTAACTGTTTGCACGAACTAATGAGACATTTGAGAGCGTTTTCATTGATTTCGTTGTCTTTAAGCATAACATGTCTTAGAGTTTCACAGCATTTGTCGCTCAAGATCTGCAAGATTTCGTTTATATTACAAGAACTGTAACTCAGATCCAAGTGCTCTAAATGTGGCGAACAATCACTTGAAAACACATCCAATACTTCGCGACAGAAGATGCAGTTCTGAAGAATCAAAGACTTAAGGTTTGGACACTTGGAGAGCACTGACGACAAGTTGGATGCGTTCGCGAAGTACCACTTCGTGTTGTCTTCGACAGCACTGTCAAAGACATCGCCAATGCACTCATCGGTCGACACCTGATGTTTGATGTCTTGACAGACAGCGAAACTAATGGTCACTCCAATGGAGTTCTGGCATCGGATCAGTTTGTCGACCAATTTGTGCCACTTTTTGCAGACCTTCTGTGCCGTCAATTTCTCCACGAAAGACAACTTCGAGAATATCAACAAAAGCGAGTAATCGTCCAAATGGTTCACCGAATCCACCGATGGCTCACTCGATGGCCCACAAGTCATGTCGAAGGCTCTCATTTGCACCACAAGTGATGACTGCGATGACTGACACGACTGTCCACTCATTACTAACCAATCAGTGGACGACTCGAGACATGTCTCGATGGATGTCTCACTTTCGGTGTCGCTGGCCATCGATGTGAATGATGTGAACAGTTGAGTGCTTTTATCGATATTTTGCATTTAATAGCAAATTGTGATCTCTTTGTGTCTTTGTGTGGATCAGTACTCAATTGATTTGCAATGATTTGAGTGAAACTTAATAACGGTTTCAATGATTGAGTGAATGAAGCAAACAATCAATCGATTCATACAAACAGTGCTCACAGACTGAACACAACAACAATCACAACACCTGTCATATGACTCAATAGTATTCAATACACTCGCAGTCACTGCCACTCAGTGGAGCACTCTCTCTCTCCATTCGCAGTCAATGCTAACGATAACCAATTGAAAGCTTTTCAAAGCTATTCAATGTTTTTGGCAACTATTGGTTGAATGCAGAGATAAGTGGTGTCCACATCAACTGATCCGGTCATCACCTTCACTAACCCTCACTACCTCTCACTATACGCTCAATCAGTTATTTAAATATTGATTTTAATGTTCACATGATTTTAGTTGTTTGATCACAACTTCAATCAAAAGATAATACCATATGTATGTTACAAGCAATACAATATCACATTCATACAATCTTTACACAAACTTTAGGATCAATCTGTGCCAATACTATACATTTGTGACCACAATTGTACCAGTATAATTATATCAATTTATTGTTTAATATAGACTTACTATACATTAAAAGATCAATGACTTATAAAAGGCTATATTTAAAGATAATATAATATATGATACTATTTAATAGATTTAAACATAATTAAAGCATTATAAAAACAAAGTGTAAAACAAATCAAATGGAGACAAATGCCTCTTCTGTTTGATTAGTGCTATAGTTTTTGTCTCCTCTTCGTTGCAATGGTATGAGAGGACTGTTCTCTTCAAAAGTTTGCACTCGTCTTCTGCGTCCAAACACATCCCTTAACCGAATTCCTGTCAATCATACAAAGTATTAACAATATTCACAAAATAAGTACAGGAATACAGTAAATGCAATGAAAACTGACTGATTTGTCTAAAATGATCGGAGATGTCTGTCCTCTCATCTGTCAAATCAATGATCCGCATAAAACTCAAACAAATGGGATCATTAACTGCCGCGAGATCGACGAAAGGCTTAAAATAGTTATAAATTAATTATATTCTCATATTTGAATCATTAGAGAAGGCATACCTTGTGCGAGAAGGCATACAAGTGCGCGATGGCGGCCACTAACATCTCGAAGCAGATGAGGAAATCCTGTTTATCATGCATTCCTCAGTTAATACAGTCATTCATACAGGTGTCCAATATTTACCTGAAAGTTGCGGGCGATGTCTGTATGACCTCTTTTGATGCCTTCAGGAATGAAGGCTTGAGTAATGATTCCGATTTGAATGAATATAGATATCACTACTCCTTGGCTGTCAAAATGATAATGATTTTAGTTTTCAATTAGGTTTGAAATGATGTCAAACAGTGTTTACTCACAAAAACGAGAAGAAGACAACGGCTTTGATGCATAAGAACTTTGCCAGAGGTCTCATTGGCGCCAATTCATACTTATAGGTCGTGTAGAATATGACCAAACAGTACATCGCTATCTGTATACACAATAAGTTATATGTATTATGCTATCAATACTTCAATTCTCAAAGCCTATCATTTGTACCATTTGTGAGATATTGTTAATGACCAGTAGGTATGGGTAGGCATTTCCCGGCCCATAGTGTCCCTCACCATAAACTCCCAGTATTTCGAAGAATCTAAAAATTGTCATGAATTGTAAAAATGATTGTCTGATTGAGTAGTGAATGAGTGGTGACTAACAGTGCGAGGAATGTAGTGCAGGGCCTGACGACCACATACTGAAGGATGCCGTGTTTGCATCGCTCGAGAAACCTGCGACCGCCCACACAGGGGGCCAGAAAGCACAGGGGGAACAGGTGTTGAACTCCGGGCTTGCACTCTATGGTCACCTCGAGGTCCATCTCGTGGAACAGAAAGTTCAGCAAATACTTCATGAAACTGTAGATCACAAACGCCTCGTAACACTCGCGAAGAGTGTCCACATATATGGCTATCACCGGGAAGTTCATCGCCAACCACTGCATACACAACAGACACCAATGTATTGATAGGAATTGGTTATAAAATATAGCAATTAATTAAAGCAAGAAATGATAGCAAAAGTATTGACCGAATTCATGGCATATATGGGAACCATCCATAGGATCCGAACCACATATTTCTGGAGATAAGGCTTATTATAATGGCTTAAGTGTTGAGTGATTTCCCAAATCGACACAAACAGAGCCAAGAAGGCGAAGAGTCCGGCCACCAGTGGCCACACCGAGTCATTGCGAGCACCATCACTTCCACCATCACTTGCCTGAACATGTATGGATGTCATCACTCGTGAGTACAGTTACCATCAAATCAACTCAATATTGCATTAATAGACATCTTTTAGATAACCAATAACAGAGACATTAGTTTTACGTCTTAAGACACTATAACCGTTGAGATAATCACTTATTATTAGTGTATTTCACATAAATTGAATTGTGGTCTAAGAAACTGATCCCAAAAGATATGGTTTTATGGTATGTCTGATGGATTGAAGTGATTGCAAAAAACATCCAAAATTGTTGTCACTTTTGTTTACTGTCTCTATGTTTACAATGCATTCATTCATTCAGTTGTCATATGATTTACTACTGAAACTTCATTTGCGCCCTTTATCTGCAACACTCTATACAACCATTGCTAACATAGGCTTAACTCAAATGCTACACAGTGAAGGTATGTAAAGATATCACAAAAACCTATGGAAACCATAAATGAGAAATCGTAAATGCATAATATATTATGCAATAACTTGAAAAGTTAATAAAATTAGAAATTGATGGCAAAAAGGGGGCGAAAACGATACAAAAAAGCACTGCCGTGACCAGGATTTGAACCTGGGTTATTTTGAATTTGGCTTACGCCTACAAACACTGCTATTTTTACGTTCATTCATGCGATTATCGATTATTTGGTATAAATTAGTTTTATTTAAAATTTGACTAAATTATTGTACATTTGTGTTCAAAATAGACAATGAGTTGACTGTAACTCAGCTGTAAATAATCATTTGACCGAAATATGAGAGGCGAGAGAGGAATGGCTGCGACGGACACAACAAGAGCTCATAATTGATGGCAGAGGTGTTGAATGCATTGATGTCCAAAGTATTGACTTTCGAAGAATTGACGAATAGTTGGTATTTCGAAGTGTTTGATAGCATTCTCAGTATCTGTTGCGACAGTTTGTCATCAATGAGAGTGTTATCACTCATGACAGACATGATCTCTTCATTCAGTTCTTCGTCTAATGACGCGGAATGCCAGCCCTCTATTGAATGGGTCGGTTGTATCACTTCTCGCGCTTGTGTCACAAAAATGGTATCCTTTTCAGCTTCTGTCGTCTCTTTCAAATGAATCGCTTCGGGAGAGGATTCGCTGGAAACTGTCTGTAATTGAGGCGTTGATTCACTATTCATATGTAAATTCTGGGCATCAGTTTTGTCCACATTTGGAATATTTAAAGAATTTAAACTCGAGTCCAAAGTTGGCAAAAGTGAGTCTCTATGTAAAGAACTCACTTCAGAAGAAGTGGTCTCAAACCCAGAGGAATCGGTTTTGTCTGTTTCTGGGCTTATAGTGTGAGGTGGTATGGAATTTATCACATTATCTGGTACTAAGACATCTGATTCTGATTGATTTGACTCTAAGACCTCATTGGAATCCATATCGAAAGACTCGTTCATTTCTAAGATCACATTCGAGTCAACGTTTAATTTGTTTGGCATTTCAGACAAATCACTCTCACTTTGATTCTCATCATTTGATTCACTTTCAGAACTTTTCTCATAAATATATAATTCATTATTAATTTCCTTTTTATATTTGTGACGAATTGATTGCAAAGAATTGCTGGACTCGTGATTCAATCCTAAAACCGAATAGAGATCTAAATTGTCTCTAAAGTCAGACAATATATTCGATTCGATGTTCTTATGGTTAGAACAGCAATAAACGGCTGCGATATCAATGAGATGTGCCTCAGTGTTGAAGACATAGCCACCGCTGTCCACAACACATTCACTGCCATTCTTATCGATAACATAACCCTTTGAGCCGTCGTTGTGAACGAAATTAGTTTCATCGAATAATAGGTACAAGTATTTGAGTGTTTCGGCCAAAAAGAATGACTCCATTCGGTCTTCGATGGTATGGTCGGCCACATTCTTAACGGTCGCGAAACCGCATTCAGTTCGTGTGGACGTCTCGATGGAATCGATGACATCAGCGCCAATCTGAAGTAAATGCGGATCTTTTGTGGCTCTATAGAGATAGAGAACACTTTCGATGAACTCTGGTCTCAACGGATATCCATCGCGTTTGGAATTGAGTTTAGAATTGGGAATGTCATAGAACTCTGGAGTAAAGCCGTACTGTTTCCACACCTGATGGTAGTTATAGATAGTCTTCTTTGCCTGATCCACATCTCCTATAAGTGTCTGACAGCATATGACTCTCATATTAGATGTAGTGTTCAGTGCAAACAAAATCAATACTTACGAGAACTCCCGGCCAAAAGGCTTCTAACGATTGGAATATAGGCATAGTTGGCGCACCACTAGTCATACTGACCCATACATACCAGTCCTCCTTTTTAATATATTTATTGATTGCCCTATAATTCTCTAAATGACCACAAATTCAATAGCATTAAGACTTAACAGTAATGAAACTTGAACAGAAAACATACCATAAAATATATCCATGAGTTGAGGCATTTGTAAAAGCATTGCTCCCTTCACTAGATATTCAAAATAGGAATCAACTCCACCGCCGATCCCACTCTCAGTGGCCGTCCACTTGCCGTCTTCAACATTGATATGATTGCCAACTAATCCTATTTTGGAGCGACTTTTATGCAAAGCATTTATAGCTTTTAAGGCCTTATTCTGAAATATGGGATCTCCTGTGAGTCGAGAAAGAGTACAGAACTCTAGAATAAAAGTGCCGACGCCTGCCGTACAGGTGATCGGTGTCTCGTTATCTGGTACTCCATATCGCAGGTTAACGGTTCCGAAAGGCATTCCTGTTTTCGTCTCAAACGCTTCAATAGAGACCACATTTTACTCCCAACTCACAGATAATGTCATAAAATATGGTTCATTACCGGGAAGAAGACGTCTCGCGGCGTCCTCTGCCAGCCGAAGGAGAGGTCCCTCACAGGGCCACCCCTTCTCTGTCTCTATGCCTGCCTTATGTGATAGTAAGTGAGCGGACAGTAAGCCTCCAATCACTTCAATTGAGTTCAATATATAATGATTAGTCAAATATGACTTCAGTAACGAGTCTTCAAACCTCTAATATTAGTCTCAAAGACTGAGACATTAATATTGGTGTTGAAGTCAGCCGTGTCTAAGACTAGTTGAGCGACTCGTCTGAATTCAGTATAATTGCCGAAAACGGCTAAAGTGTCCAAAGCGTCGATCAGTGACAGTGAGAACTGCCCCCAAGTGTCCGTCCCTTTGCACGACAGGGGCTGCAACTCATCGTAATTGGAGGCATACCTCACGTAACTGTCGTACGAGTGGTAAAACATTGACACTATTTTGGCCCTATTTTCACACCAAACGGACATTAATTCAATTTATCATACAATCAATCATTGACTCACTTATAGCTATTGATCTCATGTTTAGTGAGCGGTCGTGTAATACAAACACATTCATTGAAATAAATGACTAAAAGCACTATTAAATCACATCTTAATTTCTTGAACAACATCTCAAAAATAAGTTTATTTATATAAATAATATGTTTACAAATCACAGCTCATATGAGTCCATCATTTAATAACAAATTAAGAAATTGTAAACAAATTAAAGTACAGTAGACTTATTTTCCTTAACTTTTACTAGTATTGATGGCAACAAAAACAATATAAAAACATATTTTTCAAGTCATCTCATTGCTTATCTATGATAAAAATGTATGTCTTATTAATAACAATAACAATAATAGCAAATAAAACCAAATTAAAATGAATAATCAATACATTTAAAGGTCTGTAAAACACGTCTTGTTGTTATGACACGTGTCACTCAAACTCCGCCCACTTGTGGTTGTGACCAATAAGCGGATCGCTATGTGTTTGCATTGGAGATGGAGTGGACGTAATTGAATGACTGAATGCATGCATTGACAGGACGTGAATGCTGTGAGAAGTGGTGAATGTATAGTGTTTTCACTTCCTTTTCCTTCACTGGACTGCACACCAAATGTAAGCATTATTTGCGGATCTCTTTAATTGTCCACTAATTGTCTCATTTGATCCGAAAAGTGACCAAAAATGGGTAAAATTATGAAACCCGGGAAAGTGGTGTTAGTGTTGGCCGGGAAGTACGCCGGGAGGAAGGCTGTGATCCTTCGCAACCACGACGAGGGCACTAACGACAAGAGCTATGGACACGCATTGGTGGCCGGCATTGACCGCTACCCCAAAGCCATCCTCAAGAAGATGGGCAAGAAGAAGAAGGCCAAGAGGAATAAGATTAAGCCATTCGTCAAAGTACTCAACTATAACCATCTGATGCCCACCCGGTATGTGTGACACGCCGTGTGTCTGTATGTGTCTGTATGTGGTGTCTGTATGTGGTGTCTGTATGTGGTGTCTGTATGTGGTGTCTGTATGTGGTGTCTGTATGTGATGTCTGTATGTGATGTCTGTATGTGATGTCTGTATGTGATGTCTGTATGTGATGTCTGTATGTACACGAGATGGACCTCGAGGTGACCATAGAGTGCAAGCCCGGAGTTCAACACCTGTTCCCCCTGTGCTTTCTGGCCCCCTATGTGGTGTCTGTATGTGGTGTCTGTATGTGGTGTCTGTATGTGGTGTCTGTATGTGGTGTCTGTATGTGGTGTCTGTATGTGGTGTCTGTATGTGATGTCTGTATGTGTCATATGTCTCATGTCTAACCATACCCTCGGATGTACTGACAGATACTTAGCTGAGTTCCCCTTCGACAAGACGACCACCAGTAAGGATGTGGTGAAAGACGGCGCGAAGAAGCGTAAGGCTCGTCGAGAAATCAGACAACTCTTCGAAGAGCGATACAAATCCGGAAAGAATCGCTGGTTTTTCACTAAATTAAGATTTTGATTGTATTCGCCATTGGGTTTGAATTATTAAAATTATTTGTCAATTGATACAAAAAATTGTTTTTATTAATTAAATTCATTAACTCTTAATGAGCCAAATGTTTGAATAATTAGTTATTTTCTAAACAATAGCCGATTTCAAGTTTACCATAAAGTTTTAGAAAATAGCGGTATCTTTAAGATAATGACGGCAATGGTTTTGTTTAGAAATATAAAATACAATTTAAGGCAAATTTGGTAATAATTTATAGAAATTAATAAATAGCTATCACTGGGTTAGTGATGAGATGAATGTCTGAACAGTGGTGTGGATCTGCATGTTCTGTGAGTCCTTCTGGAGGTCTCTGAGAAACTGTGCGACGCCCGCCCTATAAGTCATTTTAGATGTCTTGGACTTATAGACACTTAACTCAAATTGTGCGGCAATTTTAGTGATCTGCGAGTCATTGAGTTGAATGCTTTTGTCGACATTCACGTGATTGTAGTGTCGAGTGATATCTTCTTTTAATTTGTCGACGTATTGGTCACGCATTGAAAGGCTAACGTCTTTGATCCTGTCATTGATGGGTTCCATGACATCTGTGGCGCTCCTGAATCCCATGTGTTGGACATTAGGACTTGGATTAGTATTAGCTTTGTTCCGGCGTTTGAACTCTTGTTTGACTAAAGCAGTCATTGAGAACTCTTTGTCGGGCGCCTCCTCTTTACCCACATGTTGTGGGCCGTCGTGTTTGGGGAGAGACCAGTCGTCCTCTTGTTTATCGTCGGCTATTCTAGTCTTAAGGCCCTTATTGAAGATATAAGAGCGGTATTCGTCGGCATTTCTCTTGACTCTCTTGGGTTGAGTGCAAACATCACAACTCGTTTTGCATCCCGTCTTCACTACACTGTCGTCTCCGACAAACTCCGAGAGAAGTAAAGAGTGTCTGCACTGAGAGTCAGATTCACAATATTTGATCATTTTCTCGAACCTCTTCATCGCTTTATCTGAATCATCACTCGAGGGTCTACTCGATGAACAGCTTTGACTCAACTTCTTCTCCGAGTCCTGTTTAATAAGAAACGAAATGGCGTTTCGGTCTTCGGTTGAGTAATATATTCTGCACTTCGAGTTGTAGAGTGATATCTTCTTTTAATTTGTCGACGTATTGGTCACGCATTGAAAGGCTAACGTCTTTGATCCTGTCATTGATGGGTTCCATGACATCTGTGGCGCTCCTGAATCCCATGTGTTGGACATTAGGGCTTGAATTAGCATTAGCTTTGTTGCGGCGTTTGAACTCTTGTTTGACTAAAGCAGTCATTGAGAACTCTTTGTCGGGCGCCTCCTCTTTGCCCACATGTTGTGGGCCGTCGTGTTTGGGGAGAGACCAGTCGTCCTCTTGTTTATCGTCGGCTATTCTAGTCTTAAGGCTCTTATTGAAGATATAAGAGCGGTATTCGTCGGCATTTCTCTTGACTCTCTTGGGTTGAGTGCAAACATCACAACTCGTTTTGCATCCCGTCTTCACTACACTGTCGTCGCCGACAAACTCCGAGAGAAGTAAAGAGTGTCTGCACTGAGAGTCAGATTCACAATATTTGATCATTTTCTCGAACCTCTTCATCGCTTTATCCGAATCATCACTCGAGGGTCTACTCGATGAACAGCTTTGACTCAACTTCTTCTCCGAGTCCTGTTTAATAAGAAACGAAATGGCGTTTCGGTCTTCGGTTGAGTAATATATTCTGCACTTCGAGTTGTGGCCATCCCTTCCCGCACGACCTGACTCTTGGTAATAGCCGGTCAGTGATTGGGGAACATTCCAGTGCACCACAAACCTAACCTCTCCCTTATCGACACCCATTCCGAAGCTAACGGTAGCGGTGATGCACTTAATAGCGCCGGACATCCATTTCTCTTGGCATTCCCTGCGTTGGTGGGCAGTCATACCCGCGTGATATGCCATCGCCCGGATGCCAAACCTACTCAACGAAGTGGCGATCTCTTCACAAACAGCTCGCGTTCGGCAGTAAATGATTCCGACGTCTCTGTTCTTGACGATAGGTTTCTCGACGTAAGCCTTAGCGGTGCAGAACTTATCACTTTTAGGTGGCGCCAGATCTTTGGGTCCGATTTCATTCAACACAAACTCTTTGAGTTCAACGATCGGCTCTTTGATGATGTCTTTGAAGACAATGTCGTAGAATAGATTGGGTCTAAAGTTGGGACAAATGAATTTGGAAACCGGTTCCCGAAGTTTCAACATTTCAATGATATCTTCGACCACTTTCTGGGAAGCGGTTGCAGTCAATGCAATCCAAACCACGCGAGGATAGCGTTCTTTGAGTCGACACAGCTTTAGGTAATCAGGTCTGAAGTCATGTCCCCATTGGGAGACACAGTGGGCCTCATCGATGGCTATACGACTCAATCGATCACTTTTGTAGAGATGTTCAACAATGACAGCGAATCCCTGAGTGGCCGCCATTTCGGGCGTAATATAAAGCAATTTAATGCCAACCCTTTCGGACATCAATTCACTTCTTATCCTCTTTTGCTCGTTTGGCGCCAAATGAGAGTTAATGGTCTCCGCATTGATCTTCAACTTCTTGAGCGCTGAGATCTGATTAGTGATGAGCGCAATGAGTGGCGAAACAATGATCGACACTTTGTTTGTGTCACAAATGGCCGGCAATTGGTAACACAGACTCTTTCCGGCGCCGGTAGGCATCGACACAAAGATATCCCGTTTGCCACTCATTACACATTTGACGGCATCTTCTTGTAGTGACGTCCGGAACGACGAGAAACCAAACACTCGTTTCAACGCTTCCTCCGCAGTCTCTCCAGACTGTCGGACACTCTCATGGCTCTCAACATATTCCTCAGACTCTTGACTGTCATTAATGTGAACCACTTCTCGATAAGAGTTGTCAACACTTTTGGTCACTTCCTTAACAAACTTCACTTCTTCGACGTTTAGTTTCGTACGCTTTGCCACTCTTTTGTCTTTCGGTGCCATTTGTTTCGACAAATCAATTGAGAAGAAGTCAGTAATCGTCCGCTTTGTGGACATCTTGTGATCAGATCACAGATCAGCTGTTTGTGTGGTTTGTTGTGTAGTCTATGACGTCATTGCATAACATGTGACACAATATTGAAACACAATTTGATGTTTGCTTTGAATTGTGAGTGAATTGAGTGTTGACTGCAATCACAATGAATGCAATCTTACGGCCAAATCGTCTGAACGCTCACAATGTCTTCAATTATCGCAAATTGAGTTCACTTTTGGATGAGTTATGCCCTGAAGTGATGTCTCAATACTCGGCGGTCATTGGACTGGAAGTTCACTCTCAGATCAGCTGTTCATCGAAACTGTTCTCGAGTTCCGGCACTTCTTACTTGAGTTCCCCCAACAGTCAGGTGTCTGTCTTCGACTGCGCCCTTCCCGGGACACTACCGGTGCTCAACAGGAAGTGTGTCGAGTCTGCCGTCAAGACCGCTCTGGCCCTCAACTGTCACGTCTGGAAGCGATCGCTGTTTGACAGAAAGCACTACTTCTACGCCGATATGCCGGCCGGATATCAGATCACTCAACAAAGACATCCTTTGGCCACAAACGGCTTCATTGAGTTCATAGTGGATGGCGATCACCATTCTGATGGTTATATGAAGCGATCAGCGCTCAAACAGATCCAATTGGAACAGGACTCTGGAAAGTCTCTGCAGGACGAAGACAACAACAGGTCACTCGTGGACCTGAATCGGGCCGGAGTTGGTCTCATGGAGTTTGTCTTCGAGCCCGACCTGACGAGTGCGGCCGAAGCGGTGTCTCTGGTCAAGGAGTTGATCCTAATATTGCGGACATTGAGGACGTGTTCGTGCAGAATGAATGAGGGGGTGCTTCGGGTCGACGCCAACATATCCGTCCGCAAACCCAATCAGCCCTTAGGGGTGAGGACTGAAGTGAAGAACTTAAACTCATTTCGTTTCATTGGATCCGCCATTGAATACGAGATTAAGCGACAAATAGCTGTCATTGAAAGCGGCGGTCGAGTGATAAACGAGACGCGAATGTATGACATGAAAACGAAAGAGACGGCTGTCATGCGGGACAAGGAGGTCGTACAGGACTACCGCTTTATGCCTGAACCCAATCTCCCACCCATTCTTCTCAGAGATGACAACGACTTGAACAGCGATTTAATCAATATATCAGACTTTGAACGAGAGATTAGTTGTGAGGAAATGCCAAATGAATTGCGAGAATATTTATTAAATAGTTATGGTTTAAGTTTAAAACAAGTTTTCACATTAATGAACGAAAATGGTATGCAAAAGGTTTTCTCACAAATTGCTCGCTATAGTCAAACCCAACATTTCTCAGCAATCTTTTCTTTCATTAATTGTGAACTCAGAACTCAATTACAAGAATTGAAACAAAGCTTCGAGTTTTGCTCAATAGATCTCCAAAAAGTTGCAGAAATTATTCATTTGTTAACCAATGGACAGATCTCTTCGAGAATAGCCAACCAATTATTAGGCCTTTATTTTCATAATGAAAATCGATCTCCAAATCAAGTGATCGATGATAACAATTGGCAAATAATTACAGACCAACAGACTATCGAAAAAATGTGTTTATCGGCCATTGAATCGCTGCCAAAGATTGCCCGCAAGTATGCCAAGAGTGGTATAAGAAGACCGCAGTCTCTGCTCATCGAAAATGTTATGAATTTGTTGAACAATAGAGTCAATGAAAGCGATATTTGGCTTCAATACGACCGATTACTTCGCAATGATATCAAGTCATTAAAAGATCATTGATTTCTATGAATAACTTATTTAAAAGTGATTTTTGATAAAAATTTATTTACAACATAATTTTAACAAACATTAGTGAATCGTATTAAAGTTTAAATAATTAGAAACAAATGCTTAAATGGTCTCATTTTTATCAATAGTTTTTCTTTCAAAAACAATGTCAGCAAACGTGACCACAATTTTGATGGATTTGATTTCGAGTTGATGAGAGTCTATGAAAGTTTGAATGCAATGTCTGTCACTTTCAAAGGCCACGAACGCTGTCTTGGATTTGTTTGTCCGACACTTTTCTACAGTAATCATCACAGCGTCGGGAAAAGTGAAGGCAATCTCTTCGATTGTGGAACTGTTGGCAATATTAGACACTTTAAGCATACATTGATTTAACTCTCTTTCATCGGTTAATTCAATATAATTTATTTTTTCAAAATCAGATAAATATTTCAAATTCCTTTCGTTGTGTATTTTCAATAAGTTTTGCCAACAAGTCTTCCGATTTTCCACTTTTAATGTATTCAACGTATTATTCAATCGCTTTCTCACTCTATGCACCACTCGAGACAACATTTTTTACAATTTTAAACTAATATGAATTTGGAAATACGTTTTGAAACACTTTTCTGAAGCCTTTGCGAGTCGTTGACCGAAAAATTATAAAAATTTTAATTCGTTTCAATTTTTAATTATATTTCTATATTTTTTGTTTAGTCAAAACAATTGGAAAATGAGAATAAATAAGTGAAAACTTTCATCCCTTAAATGTTATGTTATTTTCGCTTTGCTCTAATTGACTGCAAATTCAGTTTAATGAACTCAATGTCTATTTTTCTTTGCTTTTAGATTATTCTTAAATGAAACGCAAGTTATTCATAAATAAACAGACAAAGATATTTTGATCATTCATTCATTAAGTTTGAGAATTAATTCAATTTTGACAAAACAATTTAATTATAGTCCAAGAATCATAAAGCATTTCAAGTTTGATTTTCTTTTAAAAAGGTTTTTCTTAGAATTTAGTAAAAGTTTATTTTAAAAAGTTTTATTATCATTTCTAACGAATACTGATATTTTATTATATTAAAGTTTGGATATTTACTTCAGAAAGTAACGAAAATTAATTGATGAGTGAAAACTTTTCACTGGAAAGTAATTTGAGATATCTATATTTATATCTTATAAGATTCAGTACTAGTCTAGTAAAACAATTAAACTGCAATGTTTTTGAGTTAAGACTATTCTTATAAAATAAGTACAGTATTATACTGTATATGAGTAAAGCTATTTAATTCCAATTTTCATCATTGACAACTTATGTTTACTTTTAAAATCTTAAAATAGTCACTAAATAATTATGAATTCAAAGTTATATGATGCGAGTCAGTGGACAGTAAATGATTAAGATAGGACTTAACAGAATTGCACTGGTAATGAGTATCGTATACAGTAGGTGTTCAATTGATTTGCTTATTAAATATTACTTATCTTTTTGGGTAAAAATACTGGTCAATGATTAGCAATGTTATTTGTAATTAATATTCACCAATACAAAATGAACAAATTATTTAAAATTGTTTTTATATATAAATATTATTTATTAATTGTTTTATAGATTTATTAGTTTCCAGTTCTAGATCTCAATACTGATAGTTTAAAATAATGTTCAAATTATCTACCTATTTATTGATATTAAATGTATTTCAAACACATCTATTTAATTGTGAATATAATGACAAAACACTTGTATGTATATCGAAATGATGCTATTAATTAAATAATATAATTTAAATTCAGCCCAAAAATAGTGTTGCAAATGAAGATAAATTGTACGGAATTTGTCGCCAAAAGAATTGTCGGAGTCTTTGCAATGCAGACAAAATAGATTCAGTTCTTAATTATAGAAACGGAACTATATTTGCATTTAAAGGCAATTATTTCTGGCAAATAATGAATAAAACTTTGCGGACCACTCCTCACACATCGAAACTCATCTCTGATTACTGGAACCCTTTCAATATGAGTCAAACAACACGATCACCATTCTTGGGACCAATTGATGCCGCCTTTCAAGATGACAATGGATTTACCTATTTGTTTAAAGTTTGACGTTTTGTATATTAGTTATATATTATATTTGAATTAAGTTTTGTTTGTTTTATTATTTGATTTAAAGGCGGATACAATCTATACGTTTAAAGACTTTGAATTCATTGAAGCTAAAAGTGTTGAAGCATTCAATTCTATGGATTCCACACTTTTTATTCATTATGCAAAAGAAGATCAGAAAATGATTTATATGTTTAGAGGTTTGTTTATATCATAATAATTAGATGTATACATCAAAGCTAACTTAATCTAACTTAATATTAATACACAAAAACCTTATAATTTTACATAATATTTATGAATTATTAACTAGGTGATAATTATTGGGAAATAAATCCATTTAACAAGATGTATAACTGGACACAAATCGGTTCAATGTTTGCCAAAAGATATAATGATAGGTTTCCTCTGGATATCGACGCTTCATTTGAAGACAATGACAATAACGTGATATTAGTTTGTGGCGAAAGTTATATAAAGATGCCGTCCAATAGATTCCCTGTAAGAGTTGTCACTAAAATATAATAATTGAGAATTTTAAACTAATTTTATATATTAGGACAATATTGGTGAGAAAGATATGGCAAAGAAGTTCATTTACGAGGATTTATTTAATTGTCAAAAGTCTTTCTATGAAAATACTATTTTCCACAATTATGACCAATTTTTAGTAATTTTATATATTAGGACAATATTGGTGAGAAAGATATGGCAAAGAAGTTCATTTACGAGGATTTATTTAATTGTCAAAAGTCTTTCTATGAAAATACTATTTTCCACAATTATGACCAATTTTTAGTGAATTTAATCACTCAAAAGCTAAACAAAACCACAATAATTAGGAGTTTCTCAAGGGCTTCAACTCTTCAATGTTTGGGTTCGTTATAGTTGTTAATGAATTGATATATATTTACCCTGAATATCGGGAGATAGTACGCGTATTATACGAGAAAAAAAGTGATTTTTATGAAAATTATTAAGGGGCGTACTATACGCCGGATGCGTATTATCTGAGCTAATT